CCTGGCAGTGCAGCTGTGCCTGAAGCAGCGCGAAGGCCGTGAGCTGAGCCGCGCGCCTGATGGGCCGCGACTCGGACAGCCGCTCCACCAGCTGCGGGTTGTGCAGCAGAGCGGCCAGAAGCCGCCGGAGAACCATACTCTTCCGAGCGCCCCGGAACCACGAGCACTTAGCTCTGCCTTCCTACCGGCCGCGCCAAACGACGGACCTCTTCTGAGCCCGCGCCGCGTGATGACGACACCGCTACGCGCGGATTGGTCGCACCCATTTCCACTGAGCAGCCGCCTTGCGCATTTCCGCTTCCGTCACTGCCACAGCTCCTTAGCTGTCTACCGAGGCGGCGCGTCTCTCTCTACCTCTGAGCATCATGTCGAGTGGCCTCCTGAAGGCGTTGCGCAGCGACTCCTACGTGGAGCTGAGCCAGTACCGGGACCAGCACTTTCGGGTAAGGCGGGCTGGGCCACGAGGTGGGCAGCCCTGGGCCAGAACGCTGAAAAACGGGTTGCATTGGTCTCATTGTGTCGTCTCCCATTCGGCTGTTGGCACGAAACGCGAAGTGGGGTCCTCGTGCCTGCTGAAGAGGCAGGGAGTGGATGCCGGAAGGCCATTTGGATATTTGGATAAAACACTTTCTCTCTTGGAAAGGGAATCTGAGATTCGCTTTCCCATTCTCTTGCAGCTTCACTCTCAGCTTGGTACAGTGCCTTTCGGGTGACAGTGTTGGTGCTTAGGGAAGTTGGTGATGCGGGGCAGTGGGGGACCTTTCCTCTCCCTAGGGTGTGCGGTGGCGCCTTACTGACCCAGATGTTGATCGTTCACATACTGCTTTTTGGCGCTCCTAGGCTTTTTCCTTCTGTACTGTAGGTTGAATCCAGGGCTGCCCACTGAGCTGCATTCCCAAAATGCTGGGATTGCGATCCTCCTGCCTCTGCCTCCAGAGAGCTGGGATTACAGGCAGGCGTGACACCACACCGGGCATTAAGCAAGGCCCTTTAAGTTGTAAGGTTAATAACTTTGTCTTATTTGAACTTCTAGGGTGACAATGAAGAACAAGAAAAATTACTGAAGAAAAGTTGTACACTGTATGTTGGAAATCTTTCCTTTTACACAACTGAAGAACAAATTTATGAACTCTTCAGCAAAAGTGGTGACATAAAGAAGATCATTATGGGTCTGGATAAAATGAAGAAAACAGCATGTGGCTTCTGTTTTGTGGAGAATCCTTTCTGAGTGTGTAATGTCACTGTTGAACCAGGGCAGAACAAAGTAGTCGATTGCCTGTTTGTGAAAAATGAGGATATTAGCTCATTAATATCTACCTCTTCCTGTGTGTCCACACCCTAGTATCACTTAAAGCTGATAATACCTATTATTTTATCTGAAGTTCATGTGTTGTTCAAAGTTGATCCTTTGAGAAAAATGTCAAGAAAATGTCTTTGGTAGCCGGACATGGTGATGCATTCCTGTAATCCCAGCAATTGGATCACTGTGAGTTCAGGGCCAGCTTGAACTGCATAGCAAGACCCTGTCTCAAAGAAAACAAACCCCAAAAGGAATATATATCTTTGGGCCAGTGGTGTAGCTCAGGGTAGAGCACTTGTTTAGTGTGGGTGAGGTCTGGCATTTGATGTCCAGCACCTGAAAAAACTTCAGTGTTAAAAGCCCAAAGAACATAGTGAAAGTAAAATCTCCCTATGACTCTGAGCCCCTAATTTTGTTCCCAGAGTTACCAGCATCTTGGTGTCTTTCCAGGAAGAATCCTATAGATGTATGGTGGTGTTTTTCCTTAACCTGCCTTGGAGATTTTTCCATGTCAGCACATTCAAGTCTGCCTATTTTTAAAAATGCTGAAAAGCATTCCATTATATAGCTGTATATAGATTGATTTTATAGGTAAAAACTTAAACTGTATGTATGTATACGTTTTTACAATATTGGGGGATTGAACTTAGGGCCTTCACTCTGAGCTACATTCAACCATAAACTCATCTATTTTTTCAAGATAGGGTCTAAGTCATTAAATTGTACAGGTTAGGCTCGAACTTGCAAGTCTCTTGCCTCACTGGTGGGATAACAGGGTTGCACCATGACTCCTGGCTTTAAAAGTTCACGGCACAGGGACAGGAACTGAAAAACCAAAAGGTGCCATCGTAGACGATGAGTCTCAGAACCAGTGTTTCCATTTGCCTTGTAGGTCTGAGATCAGTACTCGGGATGGCAGATGCCCAAAGGAGAAGTGGCTATGGCTGGCTGGCTGGCTGGCTGGCTTTTTGGGGGAGGTGAAGTTAACTGGAAGTTTAGCCCAGGGACTTTCCACTGACCTGTATCTCTGGCCCTTTTATTTATTTTTTGCAGTACTGGGGATCAAACTCCAGACTTTGTGCTTGCAAGGCAGACTTGGCACCAATGAGCTACATCCCCAGCCCTGGCCCTTTTAAATTCAGATACATGGACTCACTAAGTTGCCCAGGCTGGGCTCAAACTTGGGTCCTCCTGCCTCAGCCTCCTGTAGTTCTGGGATTACAGGGGTGCATATAATCACATGCTAGCTGTTTTCTGTCCTAGCAAACATTAAAAAACAAAAAACTGAAGGTCTACTGTGATAGTTATTGTATTTCTGTATGAAGGTGAGAAAAAATCCTAATCAACATTTTCCAATGTCAGCTACTAATCATAATTACTTACAGGTTTTAAAAATATTATCCCAGGCCAGAGATTTAGCTCAGTGGTTCTGCCACCTGCATTGCAAGCACAAGGACCTAAATTCGATCCCCGGTACCAAAAAAAAAAAAAAAAAAAACTACCCCAAGTAGATTAAAAGATTCAGGGATTAACGTGGATGTTTGTGGTTACTCTTGGATACACAGTGCCCACTTTGAATGTCACAGTTTCTTGGCCAAGAAATATATCGTTTGTAATCCAAGCCTAAACTTATTTTGTATTTTGCAAATCAAAATATGGAGACAGGGCAGGGGATATAGCTTATTAAGATCGCTCATCTAGCATACCCAAAACCCTGGTTTCCATCTCCAGCACTGAAAAAAGAAAAGGGCAGTGGAACCAAGTAAATATTAGCAGGAGGATCCAAGAAAACCTGAGCAGTGTATCCCTGGAAAAGCATGTGCTTTTCCTCTAAGTACCTATGTAGGATGACTTGTCTGAAACTCCACCTGGTTGCATTAGGTTTTATACTTTTTTATTTATTGGATCAAACTTACTCTTAACAGTTGAACTTCACTTAGATGTTGCCTCTGTGTTCCCAAAGTGTCTGGAGCAATGCTAGTGTTCCTTAATGCTAACACTTAAGATACTACTCAAGAGCAGATGCAGAAAATGCCATGCGTTTCATAAACGGAACTCGTCTAGACGACAGGATCATTCGCACAGACTGGGACGCAGGCTTCAAGGAGGGCAGGCAGTACGGGCGTGGGCGATCCGGAGGCCAGGTATGCAGGGTTTGTGGGCTGGGCCTTTGCCCAGTTTGTAGTTACTTGCTAACTTTTTATCTACAACCCTGGTGAACATCACTCATTGGTTTGATAAAACTGTATTTGAAACCTTCAGTCAGTAGGGTGTGTACTACAGGACTACACAGAACTGTTACTGAACTTTTGCTGCCGCTAAGTGTTTGCCAATGGCAAGTGTTTAGGAAAGCAAAATGCACTGGAGTGATGTTTTAAATAGCCTGCCATGTATGTCCTCTTGTTGGAATGCTCACTGGGCATGTAAGATTTGTTCTTTGACATGGTTGTGGGAGGCATATACACCAGTCTCCTCTATGCTAAGATTTGTGTTCTTTCCCGTTCAGGTTCGCGATGAGTACCGGCAGGACTATGACGCTGGAAGAGGGGGCTATGGAAAACTCGCACAAAAGCAGTGAGTGGTGAAAGCCCAGTCTATCATTGCAGAATTCCCTCCATTGGACTGCTGAAGAAATTACCAGAACCATTTTGTTACCGGATCAAAAATTGTTCCTTGTGGCTGGGGATGGAGTTCATTGGCAGAGCAAAAAGAAATGTGTTCCTCAGCAGCAGATTCACTCTATGATGTTTTGCTTTTGTTTTTGGCTTTTTTTTTGGAACCGGGAATCAAACTCAGGCCCTTGCACTTGCAAGGCAGGTGGCAGAACCACTGAGCCAAATCCCTGGCCCAAGTCTATGATGTTAGTTATCTATCAGCCAAAAATACCGTACTCCTAGGAAGACTAGAAAAATGTAAAAATTTATCTTGTTGCTTGGGTTTAAGCAGGCTCATGATCTACACTGGGACTTGGAATGATTCTTTTTTAAATTTGAAGTTTGCACGATGTGAAGTTCTTTAAGGTAAAATGGAGTTTTGCTGTGTTGCATAGTTTTGCTCTAAATTAGGAAGAGTTGTCTGACGACAACTTCATTTGTTTTCTATATTGAATTCTAATCTCTAAAGGCAAACTTTGACCTTATTTGGCACAAAAGACTGAAGTCTCAGGACCCTCCCTACTTCTGTGCTTTAGTGCAGGACTTGAGTTCTGCTGAATACATTTTTCAAAAGATAAAATGTTTTGCCTAAGGCTAAGTAAGTCTTAACGTGGAGACCCTCAATTTATTTTGCCTTTGTAAAGCAAGAGATGATTTCTTATGTGTGAGTATAATTATCCCTTAGTTAGAAAAAAATACAAAATTTTTTCATCTAGCAACAGAGCGTCTTCCAACATCTAGTAGTATGTGAAGGTTGCAGCCGGAATGCTCTACTGCGAACATCTTTAATGTTAGACTAAGTGTGGGTTTTTTCATTCAATCCCAAACTGGTTATTGGAATTTTTTAAAAACACTGTTAATAGTTGTGAAGTAAGAAAAAACATTTAATGATACACTATTCATTTGTAAACATGTTTTTACACTGTAATTTGAACTAATTTATATTCTTCTATAGTAAGACATAACTCAGATTTCTAAAGGCCTTAAAACCAAAGATACTGGTTTTTATGCCTTTTGTAACAGATTACAATAAAGTTGGACCAACTTATTGTCTCTGCTGTCCTGCCTGTTTCCTCACATATAAAGAAAGATGTATCCTTCAACTCCTTTGTATTCAGGACTGTAAATGAACTTGGGGAAGAACCTGAGTAATGTGCAGAATTTACCTAATTCAATCTGACATTCACATCATTTATGGCTTCACATGCAGAGAGAATTGGGATGTTCTTGTGAAAGTGACCAAAGGCGCACTAAACAACCATTCATGAAGAATAGGTTATTTTTCTAGAAAACATGCTGCGGGTGACTGGTGGAGAATGAGGCTAGGATTGAATTAAGGAGATCCGATGTTTCTTTCTTGGGCTTGAGGATGCTAAACATGACTCCTTTCATTGCACCTGCATCCTTGTTTCTCTTGGGAACTGCATCTGACCGCTCTCACTTTAATTAGATAAAGTGAGAACACAGGCATGTGAATTGGCCAAGATGGGAAGAGCAGAGTGGGTGACACATCAGATCTAGCCAGAATGGGATCTGTAGAATTACTGGGTTTTGAAACATTAGCTAAAGTAAAAAACGAGACTTGATCAAGAGTTCTGCCATCAATATGGTCGCCACTCACTACCTGTGTCTATTTAAGAAAAACTAAACATACAACTGCATGGTCACATGAACCACACCTTGAGGTGCTTGGCAGACACAGTGGCTATTGTAGTGAATGCAAACAGACACTTCTATCGTTTCAGAAAATTCTGTTGGGCAGTGCTGCTCTAAGGGCGAGCTGCTTAGTCCCTGTATAGTCACTGTCCTAAATGACCCTTTGTGACTCATCACCATGAAAGCGCACCAAACTGTCCACAGACAGTACTCAACACAAGAGAACACAAGTTTATAAAGGCATTTAGTTTATTCTTCAAAAAAATACTTTGCTAGAAGGGTTGAGTACTGTAATTTTACATGATCAATAATCTTTAAATAAATTATTTTTCTGACCAACAAGTACCATTTAAGTGAACAACTTGTCTAGGTCTGTTTTTGTAATACCCAAATACAATTAGCACTTCTCAATGGTATTCCCGCTACCGGCCAGGAGGCAGTGCCCAACACATAACGAAGTATGTGCTTTATGACAGCTGATTAACATGGTTTTTGACATGATTACATGAAGCAGGCAACTGGTTTTTGTCATTCATACTATTAATTCATCGTTTCTTGCCTCAAGGGTCATGACACCCAGATGCCTCAATCACTCCTAATCCAGGGAAGCAGTGAACCTCAACTGTACAGAAGAAGGGATCTCAAATTAGACAAGTGCTGGCTGTGTCCCAGTTAGGTGTGTTATTTTGTTCCAGCTATAAATTCAAAATGACCATGTTACTCCTACTCAATGGTAAGTAGAAAATATAATGCCAAGCTGAAAATGTGATGGGATTACGGCAGCAGCTTATTCTTTTCCCTTCCTTAAAGAGGCTAACTGAAAGTTGATTCTCTATTATTGAGGAAACTAAAAGATGAATTAATCTACATTCAATCCTATAGATTTAACAAAAGGAAAGCCCCCTGGAAAGCAGCAGTGACAGCCTGCTAAGACTGTCAGGGAGAGGCCTGGGCAGCTTGTTAAAGGCGCCACAAACAGCTCCACGTCTGTGCGGTGCGTCCTGCTTGACCCCACAGGCACACAGTCTGCCTCCCTTGTGTGCACCCATAGTTCATTCAGGGCCAGGCTGCTGACAGGACAGCAGTGCTTCACTTCTCTCTCACCAACCGCCCAGAGTATATTTCAAAAATGCTGCGCCGGTGATTTAGCTCAGTGGTACCTGCCTTGTAAGCACGAGGTCCCAAGTTTGATCCCAGGTACCAAAAAAAGGAAAAAAAAAGGGGGGTGGGGGATCCTTTGTTACAAGGAAGCAATTGCTGCAAACATCCTGAGGAGACTTTCTAATTTAGGACTTGAGCTAAACAAAGGTTTATGCCTAATAACAAGGAGAAAGGGAAAGGCAACTATGTGTGCCGAAACCAAGAATGTTTCATGAATGACAAAATTTTTTTAAAGAAAACTGAATAGCCACCTTTTAGGCTAACCACACTGCGTGGAACCCCCAAGGTGCGCCATTACAGCTGGACATGAGTAGTTGGACTTAGCTCACTGGAGGTCTCTAAGCTCATCCCTGTGCCTCAGTGTAGCATGAGGCCCAGTTCTCAGGTTAAAAGATGGCAGCCCAAGCTCTGAGCATTAGGGTTTCTTCAGGAGAGTGGGAGACATGGCTCAACTGTAGAGCATTTGCCTGGTTCTTGGGAGTCCTGGGTTCAATCCCCAATACCACCACCACCACCAAAAAAAAAAATTGCAGAAACAGTCCTTCCCTCTAATGACGGGTCTGACCCAGGAAGTAGTACATAACTTCCTCACTCTGAAGGAAAAGACATTTTCAATCAATAGCCTCAATACAGGCTACTTTGATACAGGTATTCTAAGAAAAGGCAAATGTCTTGCATATAAATTTTGAACAATCATATCTGCATAATTATGTCTAAAAACTTTTAAGAAGACATTTTTCCCCATTCTGACTTATCCTCTGTCCTAACAGTGACACAATCTTACCTGTAGCAGCATAAAATGCCTCTGCTCCCATGTTTTTAATGACCTGACGCACAATAAGAAATACTGGCCTGGCCTTCTGCTAAGGAGTGAGTTTAGAGGCCTCAGGAGTGGAAGGGCTCGGCTGTGCTGCTGATGCCAAGAGCCCTGCACATAAATGTGATCAGACTCAACCCTCAGCTGGGGGCAGGTAGCCCTGCCTCACTCAGCCAGACCTGTGACCAAGTTAGACTTTTGTTTTTTTCAGCACTCCAAACCTACCCAGTAATAAGTTCAAATGTCTTTTGCCATTTGCTTGTTTTTTTCTGTAAGCCTCTCAATTTCTTACATACACATTTTACTCCCCAAGATCAGAAAAGATAATTGGGTAAATTTATTATTAATCTTTTTGTATTTCCTTTCCTTTTAAATGTCACAAAAGGCCAGATTACAGGTAGAAGATCCACTGCTTTCATCATAATGCAGCTAAGTATAGGGATGGGCCACTTTAAGGCCACTTTAGGATGTGTCCATAAGACAAATTTTGTTAGAAAGGAAAAAGCAACTCCTGCGCCTGGAATGTTAGGACTGGGTGGGCAGAAGCCACACAAGCCTTGCATGTTGCTGAGGTTACTAAAAAGAGAGGGAGGGAGACATTTCTAGGATCTCTTCCAGAGAACCAAACTGACTGTTACCTCCCTTTCTCTCTGCCCACCTGCAAAAGACTTGGTCAGACTACAGTTGTGAATATAATTCAGACAGAAATGTAGTTGGTAAACTTTAAATTCTTTCACGTGGAAGGCCACATAAGGGAAGTGACAACTTGTAAATTACTTCCAGAAAGGCTGACTTCTCACTGGACTACTAGTTTGAAGGCTAAATTTTTTTTACAAGCCAGAAACAAATATCCAGGGAATTCAATGTCCCAGCAAAGGCCTTTGTGAGCTTTAGGCCATAGACTGTAATTCCCAAGACCAAGTCTAAAATCTCATTTAAGCTAACTGGCACCCAGGACACTGCTTTCTGCTCAAACTCTGACTCTCCTCGAAGCAGGCACTGTGCTTCCAGGAGCCTCTGTGAGCCGACAGCCTCCCATTCACAGCTATGGCCCCGCCCCGCCAAGGGAAGTCAGCCAGAGGTGCGACTGGCAAAGTAAACAGGACTGGCTCTGTCAGGACCACTCCTCACTACCCCTTATCCCCCAAGAAGCACCTACTACTCTGAGTTATGCTGTATCAAAAACATCTTGTATCTTTAGGTTCTGGAATTAAAATTTAAACCTGTATTCAGTTCACGTCTAACTAAGTTTCAAAAGTTGCACCAAATCTACTAGGCTTTTTTTTTTAATACTCTTCACTGCATGCTCTGTCTATATGCATGCGTTTGGATAATAAATATTAAATATGGGAGGGACACGCGGAATCCACAAAATTAAAAATGAAACCAAAGTGAACATTAAAAAAGAAATGGTAGCTGGGGAAACGAATAAGGGCAAAAATAAATTTGAGGTAACAATAGTGGCCCAATACCACTGATTTGAAATATCTGTAAAAATCCAAATAAGTGGAGATTCAAGTAACAAACCATCTGCTCCAACTTGGTCAGACTTTGCAAGTCCTCGCCACCTTCAGTCCAGGAGCCGGCACTCACACAGCTCCTTGTAGATCCGCTTGCGCACGCGTGGCATGTCTTCTTGTGAAAACTGGAAAGGCTGCTCCAAGGCGAGGCACTTGCAGTACTGCAAGGTCACAGAAGCACATCAGTGGCATGTAGGGTGTATGCCAGCCAGTGCCAGAGGCAGACCCCACAGTCTAAGGCAGCATTATAAGGTCTGTGCAAACTTGCAAAAACATCATTCTAAAACATTCACCTCCAGATGAGTTAGCTTTGCAGGCAAGTGGATGACACCACCCTCTCTCACTCCCTCCCAACTCCATACTGTGGAAAGCAGCAAGTGGGAAGAGGCTCCGTTCCTGCCCGGTGCAGCCTGCTGCTGACAGTGCAGCTAGAGCTGGCATGAATTTGACCACAAACTCCAGCATGAGAATGAACCTATCCTCCCAGGTCTTTGCAACTGGCTAAATTCATGGATCATAAATATAGGTATAACTGAAAATTTTCCATAGCTCCTGTAGACCTACAAGGGTAGGTGCAGCATGGCCTAACAGTTTTTGAAAGTGGTGCTTATTTAAAATCTCATCATGCAATGACTTGCAGGTTGTCTGCAGATGGTTTTTATTTTTTATAAAGTTAATTCTGCCAATGCCAAGGCCTGTGATATAGTCAGATACAAGTCCCTTTCCAGTGTGGCTTGCAAATGACCAGATAAGACCTGGATGATATTCACTGCTCATCTTTGGCCCAGGGAGCTGGTTCTTCTTAGAGACCATTGGAAAGGGCAGAACTGTGCCTCAGCAACAAGGGCAGGCAGAGGACAGAAAGCATTCCCTGCACCTGGTATCAGTACACACAAATGGACTACCTTCTCCCTGAACCCAACAAACAATTCACACATTACAAATTCTAAAAAAAAATCTTTACCTGGAGCACAAAGACTCCACAGTCACTGTCATTTTTCTGTTGTGGAATACACTGTGAAAAAAAACAAAATAGCTATTAAAATAAGATCAAGTATTTCTCTTAAACTGTTGTTGTATGTGTGTTGGTGCTGGGGATCAGATCCAAGGCCCTCACACATGCTGGGCAAGTGCTCTACCACTGAGCTACAGCCCCCATTTTATGGATAAATGAGCAAGAGACAGGAAACTTGTCTAAGACAGCTGGTACATACCTCCGGCATTTTTCTTTTTTGCAGTAGTAGAGATTGAACCCAGGGCCTTTGCACTAAGCTGCACCCCTACCCCTTTTTTAAAATTTTGAGACAGGGCCAGGGATTTAGCTCAGTGGTTCTGCCACCTGCCTTGCAGGCCCAAGGACCAGAGTTCAATCCCTGGTAATAAAAAAAAAAAAAAA